TTGCTATCAACTTCAACTGACCGTCTACTTGACCCTGGAGCATCATCCAGCGAGAAAACTCTAGCAGGAAACTTGGCAAGCCACTTGACACCCTGCACAAATCTTTTTTGGCATTTCAATTGCATTTTTACCTTTCTTGAAATAGTAAAACATAATATGCCAAAAATGTTCCATGTTGTCTTTCATCTTCAATACTGAAATGGCTAAACAAAAATTCACCAATTTGGTAAGTTTTTTTTAAATGCACACTGATATGACAGTTGTCACAATACAATCTAACAAAATTGTTTCAAGTTAATGCAGTTAAAGACAACTTAGCGATACTAGAGCCACCATACGGAAGAAAACCAAAGGAACTTTTTGGCCAACCCAACGTATAAGAAAAGATTTCCTATCCTCTAACTAGGCCTCCTGATAAAAGCCTATTTATTATCTGAAAAAGTCACTCCCCTCAGAGGCCTGAGCCAATATCCAAATCTTTAATTCTCATAAAAGAAAAAGGAACACAATCTAAAAATTCATTTAATGTCAGTGGTAACTGAGAAGAGATTATTCTATTATCTGTTGATGATTTTCATTTCCTTAAAGAACACAAATAAAATTAAATGGAAAGTATACAAGCTTCAAATTCTAGACTGGCTGTTGTTTACTATGTTCCACAGCAGTCATGACAAAAGGGAAAAAAAGATACCAACCTTCAAGAATCTTGCACTCTTAAGACAACGTCTGACTAGAACAATCTAGACAAATATTACATAAGCCCCAGGATTTGTATCAGCTGCTCGAGATACTTTTTCAACTGAATTAAGAAAGCGCCTCATTTTGGAGGCAAGGAAATCACGTTAAAAGCAACACAGAATCACTTAACCAATGCAAGTTCCTACGAATAGTGGTTACAGCCAGTCTTCTACAGAGCAATGAGGGTGACCTCTGCATTCTGAAATCCTAACTTAAGAATCGTTTAAAAGGAAAGAATGGACAGTTTTCTCGGAAGTACTCTGCCATTAATAAGAGACTGAACATGGTGTGTACCTATTGTACTGCAGACAACTAATTTAGGTTCTGGAATGGCTTCTCCAGCCTCTTTTTCTTTTTTTAATCCTCAAGCAAGGACTTTTTTTTTTTTCCCCAGTGCTTTTAGAGAGACAGGGAGAGAGTCAAGGAGAGAAACATTGCTGCAAGAGAGAAACATCCACTGGTTGCTTCCCATATGCGCCCAGACCAGGGAGAGAACCCTCAACCTAGGTATGGGCCCTGATGGTGAATCAGATCTGCTACCTTTCAGTTACGGACAACACCCAACTGAGCCACACGCGCCATGGCTCTGCTCTTTAAAAAAAAAAAAACAACACACAGTCAGGGTAAAGCAATGAGGCAGACAGGATCCTCCTCTGACCAAGCACCAGGACGACCCACACAGGTATGCTGGTTTTTCTACCACCACCAACTCCTTATAACAAGACAGACTCGGACAAGAAACCATTAGGTCCAAAACCCTTACTGAAGGACAAAATGAGGCCAACAGCCAACAGATACCTAAGGAAATGCTTTTAACACACATGGAAGCATAATTTCAGAGGCTGTATGATCCAGGTGCCAAGGTTGGGCAGCAGGAAAGGATTGGTTCTTTTTAAATACGACTAACCAGCTGCACCAGAAGCTGGTAATCATTACACATGCAGTGCTGTAATTAGCAGTTTTTAAAAAGTCAGGCTTTGTGTGTTCAAGATGTGGAAAAATTGACATTGGACCGTATACATGACATGCATAAACTTAGGTACCCAATGCAGTAGGTACTCCCCAGCTGCTGCTATATATCTAGCATTGTAACATTATCTTTTAGTATGCATACTTAACTCAATTTTTCATTTAGTTCTGTCCATTTGACTAGAGCATCTAAGTACAAAAAATTATGTTAAAGAAAAAAAATCAAAGAGCCTATCTATTCAACAAGTTTAAACTTAAACAGCTTTCTTTCTGTGTCTGACACTTTATACCACTTACAGTCATGTAAATCATAATACCGCATTCAATTTCTGAATCTGCCATTTAAAAGCTGTGAATCTGACAAGTTACTTAACCTTTTTGTTCTTCAGTCTCCTTATCCATAAAATGGGGGTTATAACAGGACCTACTTTGTCAAGTCATTGTAAGGATTAAACAAGATACATGTAAAGCAAGTAGAATTACAGTAGGCATAAAGGTTCAATAAATGTTAAATTTTTAAAAGCCAAGTTCTATAAACATGAGCCATATATAAGACTGACTACAGTATTATATATACTTATAACAGGTCCAGCAGCTGGCATAACAATCAATTTTATAGTGCTTTATAATGTATGTAGCACATAATCTATCATTAATGACCTAGGGCACAGTGTTATACTGCCTCTCCCCTTTCTTGCCACCCCCCCAAAAAAAATGTTCCAAAAACATTCTCATTGCTCACGTCCTGTCTACCTCACAAACAAGAGGTGAATCACTAACCCTACCCAGAACTGTCCTGGTCTCTCTCTTCCAGTGGAATCAGAAGGAACAAAGAGTTGCTTTCCTGCTACTTCAAGAAGCTCACAGCATCCAGTATTATCACTCACAAACTGCAACGGACCTCAGGAATGCCTCAGTCAGGTCTTCTCCTATGTTGCACATGGAACAAGGAGATTCTGGGCACGCGATAACGTCCCTGAGAATAAAAAGCCAGCATTCACCAAATCACCCCTCTTTGCTGCCAAGGAACAATGGGGCTTCAGTAATTTCCTCCTGTTGTAGCAGAAATAGATAGGGCATGACTTCAACAGTAGCAAAATGTCAAGACGGCTCCAACGTGCCACTTGTTCTCCATCAGCACAAGGGCTGGTGAGCACAGCTCCTCGCTTTGGCCAGAGACTGCCCCTGACCCCATTCAGCTGTTTAAAGAGAGACAATGTCCCTTTCAGCCTTGTGAGGGGAGCCCCAAATGCCTGTGTCTTCATTGCAATTCAAAAGAACTGCCACCTAATAAACTTCTTGAGTTTACAAAGCTAGGGACCTTGTCTTATTTACCGAGTACTTATTAAAATATCTAATCTAGAATACCCTCAGGAAATGTGTTCAACAGTGTCTGGTCATGTAAACTAGGTAATTGCTATGTTCAATATGAAAGTGTCTTAACTATTATATTTCAATATATCCTCTCAGTCCTTATAAAAGATAAAAAACACATCACCTGTTTTTCCATTCCAAGCAATCTGTGGAAACCAACATTACTTGTAAACAGATTCCAACCTATCAGGAGGTTACATTAAAAATACACTTGTGTGTGAGTTGGATACATTTTAAAAAACATTTGTCAGATTCTTGTTCTGGCAAGATTCCTATAACTGGCCACAATATTTCTTGAGTTTAAAATGAATCTTTATATTCTAGCTTTTTCCAATTAAATAATATATGCACATGGCTCTTTAGCATTAATTACATATATCTTTTAAAAAATTATTAAATGTGTTCTTTTAAAAAATTATAAAATGTTTTCATGTTCTATCTCTTTGAGCAAAAATTAACTTAATCTCTTAATTCCTGAAATACTCTTACTGGTAGGTAAAATGACTGCTTCAAATTACCTGGCCTCACTATCTTTTTCAGTAAGAGGACCTAATTCACACAGTTTATACTAACTGTAGCCAATCTAAACATAGTGTCCCCTAAAAAGCCTCAATAAAGCAATAATAACAGTGTTAACTATTATTATCAATGGGGAATCAGGACATTTCTTAAAAGACCTGGAGAAAAAGGAATTATGGGGTCTTTGTCACGCATTTCCTACCTGGGAAGATCTCTGTCTGCTTTGAAAAGAGAAGTGCACACAAAGGCCCCGAGGGCGAGGTATGGGTGCGCGGGGATGTGTGTGTGACGTGCAAGGACCCAATCGGAGCTCTGGAACTCCCCAAACCCATCTGGTCCCAAAAGGGCAGACTTAAATTCAATACTGACACTGGGGGGCTAAAAAGGAGGAGCAGTCATTGAAATAAACGGTTAATATATTTTATTTATGTATATTAATAGTTTTTAAGAGAACCATGACCAACAGAAAGCTAAACATAAGAAATAAAGATTGTGAACAAGAGTTGAAGGAACTTCTTTCAGCTGAAGGGACAAAAACACTCCATCTCCTCACAACCATCACTCTGGACACATGGTACTCCCTGCTCACGCCCAGGCCCACTTGTCTCCTCTGCCTGAAACACACCCCACAGTGTCTCAAAGGCTAAGTAAACACCACCTCCTTCCGGTGTTTTCCTGACCCTGAGGGTCAGTAACTCCCTGTTTTTTAATTAAAACATTTTGTTACATCTCCAAAATGCACCTATTACAGAGTACACTGAGCAACAGCTCAACTCTATTTACACTTAAATGTTACCACTATCAGCCCCTCACAGAAGGCCACCCTCATTCCTCCACAGGGCCCCAAACTACAAACCAAAGACCGAAGTTTTTCGCTGTTGCATCCTACCATTGCACAGAGTAAATGCAAGTCAGTAACAAAGAATATAAAGTTTCATCCCAGAGGTTCCCAAAAGAAAAACAAAAGGCCATATACTCTACAGGATCAAGAGTCACCTGCATGGGAACCAGATCTTGGGTCCTAGTTCTTAGATTCTAATGACTCTGTAATGTTGTAGGAATCTGAAGAAAACCAGCATTTCCCAAAATGGTCTCTGCCAGACACTTCTCTGCAGGACGCTAGCAGATACCCAAATAAATTGGGTAAGTCTGGATTAAAACAAAGCTAAGTGGTTACTTTACTGAAGAACATTCTCCGGGCTTTGATATACTAATACACACCATAAATTTCTAAGATAAGATTCCATTATGAAGCATTTTAGTAAATTAACTTGGGCAAGATCATGAGCAAAGGCAGGAAAATGCTTCCAAGAAGGTTGTTTCGGGGTTGGTTGGTTGTTTGTTTTCAACTGTCACGATATTGCTGAGTACTTCAAATTAACTTCTACAGAAGTTCTTACCTGATGTGTGTTGCAGGCAGAGATTCATACTGGCGGGACAAAAAGAGTTCCCTATGTTTCAACTGATGTTTCTGTTTATCAGTCAAGTCGGCCTCAACTGTTGTTTCAGATTCTTCCTCAATTTCTTCTACACAAATAAAATTCAAACAATTCATTATTACAAAGCACATTATCTATCTGCATATTAAGATAGATAAAAATCAACCATTCATTCCATATTTTCTTCACACTAATTAATGTTATATTTACATATTCAGCTTTCATTTGAATTACAACCATAAAATTAAGTTACATGGGCTTCAAAGGAAGAGGAATAACTACAATTTAAAAATGGCAGAAGGAACATATATATACATCTCCTCTTCCTCCAGAACACCACACAAAACTGCAATTAAAATATATTAACGTTTCAGTGTTGATGAAACAATGAAGGAGCAATGAAGATTTTCAACCAAAAAAAAAAAAAAAAGCTTTAGACAATGGAAAGTAGATGAGAAGAAGAAAAGTCCACACTGAGCCTAGACCAGGAAGTGACAATCCACAAACCCACGAGCATGCAGGAGACGAAATGCAGAAGACAAGGACACAGAGCATGGCTGGCTTTGCCCTCAAAGACACCAGGTGTTGGGAGAAAGGAGAGGGGTGGGGCCAACACTATAAAACTAGAGGAAAGGGTAAAAAGTCTTATGTGCATCACAGTGACAAGAATATGCTACTGAAAAAGAGAATTATCAGAAAACAAAAAATAGGATAATGCATTTATTTGGAAAAAAAAAACAAATAAAAAACTAATAGAAGGATTACAAGGTAACGCTAAGAAAATCTCCCCTAAATTACAACACTAAGACAAAGAGATAAATAATTAAAAACTCCAAAAGATAAAAAAAAAAAAATGAAAGAACATTCATTAAGTCCAACATCCTAATAATAAAAATCAGGAAGAAACAACACAGAAAACAGATTCTTTACCTCCTAAAGAAATGATTCAAGAAAATTTCTCCTTACTGAGCCAGCTGAATGTCCAGATTGAATTCCCAGCATGATTAATTTTTTAAGTGCTAACCCAAGGTCACAGAAGTTTACGGAAAGGAAACATAGGTCCTGTGCAAAGAAACCAGACTCAGGGAGTCGCATGTGAACAGCAACCCTGCATGCTAGGATGGTAGAGCAACGTCATCCCAGAGGAAAACTGGTCTTCAACCCAGAACTGCATGGTAAACTACCAAGTCTGAAACAGTAAGGACAACCTTTCGTTCATTCAACCAAGATTTCCCAGTATATATCAGGTGTCCAAACAGGCAAACAAGGTGTTAGAGATAAGCAGTGAGCAAAAAGTTTCTAAGAAGACACAATTCCAAGTTTTGCCTTTGGGAAACAGGATTGGGAGGAAGGGATGAAAGAAACAGAAAACCAAGTTTTACATCAGGCTTTTTTTTTCCCCCCTTAAAAAAAAAAAGCACTGTGTTTAACACTCTTTTTAAAGAAAAAAAAATGACCAAATGTCCTTTATAGATATAATCACAAATAATTTCAGATACAAAAATTTTAAAGATATAATGCCTCTTGAGGGCTCACAGACTCTCTGCAACCCTGCCCGGACAAGGCGTGTGTGACTGGGGGACAGCAGGAGCACTGAGGGTCCGCGTGGGAGACAGAAGCGGGGAAGGCGCTTCACGCAGGAAGCAGAGCCCAAGTTCAGGCCTCTGAGGCCTTAATTTTGGGACACTGATTGGCAACACACACACAAAGACAACACATTTCTGTTCTTCACCATTCTTAAAAGTTCTTATTTATGAACCCTGGACCACAAAAAGGTTTTCATCACACATAATCCCCCAGTTGTGGCAGTTCTCCTGAATTGTGCGAGGGTAATGAATGAGCTAAGTGTCAGATCATTTCTACTTTCAGATTTTGAAAGCTCTAAATGGAAAATGAACCTGAAAAACTGATTTCACCTAGCTCAACAAAAAGAATGAAGTGATTTAAAATTCTTAGACTACTCTTTTTAATGAACTACTCAAAGAGAAATACAGCACTAAAAGGGCCATTTACTTGCAAGCCTAATAACATCTTACCAGTAGAGAATAATGAAGTTATTGCTGCATTGACACTATTAGCACAGCAAAGATCACATACAAAATTACACTGTTTACCTAATTAGGATTTGATAAACTGTTCTGTAAAACACAGCTAACTAAATTCTAATTCATACCCTATAGAGCTAAACAGCAACAAGCTCTACAGACAAGAATGGCAACTTTTATTTTTGTACACATCCTCTTGGCACAAAGTGGAAAGGACCCAAGTGCCTGGAGGCCAACCTAACCAAAGATGGAAACCACCCCATAAGCATCTGAAACCCATCTTTAAAAACTTACTAGTTAAATTTCATTTGCATATTTCTATAAATCTGCACTGACTTGTGAACAAGAATGACTCCCATGTCATTCACATCCTAAAAAACATTAAACAGCCATAATGGCAAAAAGCTAGCAAGTAGACAATGAAAATCCTAAAAGACCAAATATGACTATCATCATCAAAAATCACGTACATGGTAACATATTTAATTATAACTTTCTAAAATCATTTACCAAGCTTGATAGAACATCAAATACCTTCCAAAAGTTATTAAACTAGAAGTCCCACAGTATACATAGTGACAGAAGAGGCTGACAGCAAATTATTTACTATAGTTTCCTTACAGTTAGAAAAGTTTCATACACATAGTTTACAAGGAAGAAGACACTGGGGCAAGGAGGGAAAACAGAACACAGAAGAAAACTGTACAAAGGGATTGTATGAAGTTTTAAGGGGCAACATATCATGGTACCTATTGCTGTATGTGCAATATACTGCGTGACGCAGCTCCATAGCGTCACGCACTATAATTTGCAGGCTCCACAAATTTCAAAGTTTTAGACTACAAGATGAGGAAGAAGGCATGGCCAAAAAGCTCACTAAGGCTAATTACCCATGCAGACTGAAAGGGGACAGGACAAGGCCAGCACAAATAATGTCCAAGCAGCAGAGGTCAGAGAAGAAATCAAACTAGCTGAGTAGTCCAGAGCACAAAAGCATCCACCTAGGAGAGCAGTCTCAACAGCAGGTTTCAATTGGGGACTCAGGCAAAGCTTTAGAGATTAGGCACGTGGCATGCATAAACCAGAGGAGGCAACTGATGAATGTAGCAAACTGAACAAGGGACAGAACACAGGGAGGGAGGAGGTGTTACTGACTTGAAACTGGGTGTTTTTCAGGAGATTGGAATCCCATGTATTAGATGGGAGGGGTGGAGCGGGAGCTGGCAGGAGGAGAGTTCTCCACAGGTTATATTCTCAAGCTTCCTAGGTCTCTATCTGAAGGAAATTATCAGCCTACAACGACATTAGCTGGTACCGACCATACAAAAAAGCAGGTGGTTAACAATGTTTACTGATGCATTTAATAACAAGTGCCCAATGTTTGAAGGCATATTACTGACCTGAGGATAGCTTAGTATTGATGCAACTCAAGCCTGCCTGTTAAGGTTGGGGGGAGGGGAGCCCTCAAAAAAAATAAGCAAGTTGAACAAAACTAGAACAATTTTTTATGACAATTTAGAGTGCATGGAACTATCAGAATGAAGAGGAAAAAACAGTTTGACAGTCTAGGGGCAAATGATCAATAAACAAAAAAAAACAAAAATCAATTGTATTTCTACATAACTGATGAACAAGCAATGAACAATCCAAAACAAATTAAGAAAACAATTTCACTTACAATAGCACCAAAAGGAAAAAATTACTTATCTTTAACAAAATATCTTTAACAAAAGACAAATTTTGTATACTAAAAACTATAAAACATTATTAAAAGAAATTAAAGAAGGCCCCAAGAAATGAAAAAATAATGTTCACAGACTGGAAGACTTAGTACTGTTAAGGTGGCAATACTTCCTAAATCGATCTGCAGACCCAATGTGATCCCTACCAAAATTCCACTGCCTTTTTTGTAAACAATGAAGAAGTAATCCTGAAGTTCCTATGAACATGTAAACAACGAAAAATAGCCAAATAAATTTGAAAAACAAAAACAAAAAACAAAGTTAAGAGGACTCCACTTCTAGATTGCAAAGCTTACTCCAAGCTACAACAGCCAAGACTACGTGGACTGGTGTAAGACTAGACACATATATCGATGGGACAGCACTGAGTCCAGAAACAAGCCTGTATATTTACGGTTAATTGATTCTAGACAACAACGCCAAGACAATCCCCCGGGGGAGTGAACAGTCATTTCACCATAAAAATGGTGCTGAAAACAAGTGGATACTCACATGCAAAGAAATAAGTTTTTTGACCCTCACACCATATACGAAAATTAATTCAAACTGAATCAAAAACCTAAATGTAAGAGCTAAACTATAAAACTCTTAAAAGAAGGCACAGGTATAAATCTTCATACCTTAAATTAGGCAATGGTTTCTTCACTGTGGCACCCTAAAGCATAAGCAATCAAATAAAATAGATAAATTGGAATTAATATTAACATTTCTGTGTTTAAAAAAGACACTATCAAGAAACAAAAGAGACATGGAATGGGAGAAAATGCTTACAAATTATGTATCTGATAAGAATCTAATATCCAGAATATACAGAGAAATCATAACTCAAGAACAGAAGGACAACACAATGAAATAATGGGCAAAGGATGAGAACAGACATTTCTCCAAGGTAAGCAAATGACCAGTAAGTACATGAAAGAATGTTCAACATCATTAGTTACTAGGGAAATTCGAGTCAATACTACAAGATATTTCACACCAACCAGAATGACTAGAATAAAAAAGATAATAACAAGCATTTGCAAAATGGAGAAATTGAAACCTTTGTATAAGATCTGTGGAAATGTAAAATGATATAACTGCATTGTGAAACAGTTCAGCAGTTAGTTACTATATGACAGACAAAATTCCCTTGCTAGGTATATATCCAAAGGAAGTGAGAACACACGTCAACACAAAAACTGGTACATGAATATTCATAGCAGCATTATTCATAACAGCCAAAAAGTAAAACCAACCCAAATGTCTTACTGAAAAAAAAAAAAAAGGATATACAAATGCAGTATATCCATACAATAGGG